AGTCAGTACTGATAGGCAAAAAAAAAAAAAAAAAAAAAAAAAAAACTGAGGTTGGATCATGAAGGCCAATTTTGAGTGAGTCCAGCAAGTTCGAGACTGTCCTCTGAAGGATTGAAATGTTAATTATTTCAGAGCTCTACCTCCACCCTTATCAAAAACCTGCCCCTGCTCCAGCCTGTGGCTAGGGTAACTTGTCTCAGGCATTGCCCCTCTCTACAGGGAGTCATAGCTTGTTAATTAATGTGTCCCGGGCTGCTCAGGCTGCTCGGTCTTGCAGTTCCCCTTTCAGCCCACCTGTTTTCCACCTTTTGGCCACCCCACTGTGCAGCATTTTCTGGGCCTAGTCACATAGGCAGGAAGGAGAGGGATAAGGGGAAAGGGCCAGAGAACAAAGGATGTTTAAGACATAAAAAGGGAAGAACACCTTGCTTCTTGGGATACCAGAATACTAGCTATAGCCCCCTTCTCCCTCTCAGAAGTCTATGTTACCCCTTTTAAAATAAACCCTGCTTTATATGCTTGCCTCTGAGCTTCTCTAATGTTCAAACTTCAGCATGTGAGGAAACAGAACTCCTCACCAATAACTCGCGGTATCATAGGGAGGGATAAGAAAGAGTCAAGAAACTTGTTTTTTTTTTTTTTTGGTACCGGGCATTGAACCATTAAGCCACATCGTCAGTATATATATATATTTTAGACACAGGGTCTGAATTGCTTAGGGCCTCGTTAGGTTGCTGAAGATGGCTTTGAACTGGCGATCCTGCCTCAACCTCCGGAGCGGATGGGAACAAGCTTTTGAGGGTGATGGATGTTTATGTGGATTGTTGGAATGGCTTCATGTGTGTATACGTGGCAAACCGCAACAATAGTATCGTTTAAAATAACTGATACACCTCCATAATATTGTTTAAAAATAAATGAGTATATCAGCCGCTGGCTGGTGGTGCACACCTGTAATCTCAGTGGCTCTGGAGGCTGAGGCAGGAGCCTCAGCAAAAGCAAGGGGCTAAGCAACTCAGTGAGACCCTGTCTCTAAATAAAATACAAAATGGGGCTGGGGATGTGGCTTAGTTGTCGAGTGCCCCAGAGTTCAATCTCCAGTACCAAATAAATAAATAAGTGCGTGGGTCACAATTCATGTTATACACACCTTAATCCTGCAGAATTCATTCTCGCGATTTTTGGTTGACAAAAATCAATCCACACAACAATTTTAAAATGCATGGATTGGGTAACATGGACTTTAGGTTTCTCATTTCCCAACAGTTGTCTGGGCGTGGCTCTATCTCAGGTATTAAAGGACCAAAAACAAGGACCGTGAGCGCTTTTAACTCCGCAGGGACCTTACGTAAGAGCACGCGATCGCTCAGTGCATGAAACTCCAACCCTTCTTAAAAGTAGTAAAAGCGCGCAATTCCCTTTATGCGAAAGGACCTGAGACACCACATAAGCCAGGGAAATCCATCTTCCACAACCGTGATGCGGCACAAGGAGACCCGGCTAGAAAAGGTGTGGAAGTTAAGATACAGCACATTAGTTCTCCCCCAACTTCCGCCGGAACTATGCAAGTGCGCAGGCGCCGGCAGTGCCCTCGCTTTCTCCTCCGGCAAGGCACCCATTACACTTTAGGTCCGGACAGCCTGAGGTCAGCTCCGGCTCCAGGACGCACTTCCGCCCTCACTCGGCTGGGCTGCCCCGCGCCTAAGCAATTCGCGGTAATGTCTCTGCCGGGGCGTGTCCTCAGGGGAGTGGGGTGTGTGGTCTGCGTTTCCCCCTCTAGAGGCTGACGGGGCGCGAAAGCTACCTGGTATCAGCCTTCCGCTTGCTGTGCAAGCGCCGCCTTTGCGTTCTGCTGGCCCAGCACCTCTCGTTGATAAGGTTGAAGGCTGGGTTTGGGCCTGGAACGAGTGTTAGTCCGCTGGGCGACCTCGTGTTGTGACCGAGGCGCTGGACGGAGAGAGTCCGGGAGCTTTGGCCCCGCCCCTTCCGTGCACAGTCCCTGTCCCGCTGGTTTCCGCGCTAACCCAGGCGCCGCGGCCCGCATGGTGTAGTCCTGAGCCCACGGCCTTCTAACGCTGCCTCTCCCCTCCCTGTGCAGCCCTCGGACCATGCCCGCGGGCGTGCCCATGACCACTTACCTGAAAATGTTCGCGGCTAGCCTCCTGGCCATGTTCGCGGGGGCCGAAGTGGTGCACAGGTACTACCGGCCTGACCTGGTGAGTGGCGGAGGGGCCCTCTTTCCCCCTTGCTGGACCACTCCATGCTCCTCACAGCAGCAAAAAGGACCTTAAGCGAAACTAGGATCCCACCTGCCCCAAGCCTAAAACCCTATGATGGCTTCCGGCTGACCCTAGAGCTATGCATGGCCTGTGAGGTCACGTTGTGGTCCACAATGTGGTCCCTACCACTACAGGCCATTCCTCCCTGTTCCCTCTGTTGCAGCCACACTGACTTCCATGCTCCTTCTCCAATGCACCCACCCTATCCCTACCACAGAGCCTTCTTTTCCTCTCTGATGCTTTTCTTCCAAATCTTGGCGTGATTTCTTTTTCCTTCAAACTTAGATCTTATACCAGCCCCTTGGAAGGCTGAGGCAGGAGGATCGCGAGGCCCTAAGCAACTCAGCGAGACCCTGTCTCTAAATTATAAAGGTGGGCTGGCGATGGGGCTCAGTGATTAAAGGCTCCTGAGTTCAATCCCGATAACAACATCTACAATAAAATCTGAAGATCTTTGCTTAAATATCCCCTCCAGCAATGAGTTCTTTGGCCAGCTCTGACAGGATTCTTTCCTCCTGTGCTATTCCACTCAGTCCTTTGTTTCCATAGAGCACTTGTTGCAATTTGCAGTTATTTATTCCTTTGTCCGTTTTCTTGTCGTTGCTTGTTCCACTAGAATGTAAATTCTCCAAAAGAACTGTCCATCTGGTTCTCTTTTGAGAGCTTGGAATGTAGCTGATGACCAGCAAAATTTTGTAGAATGAAGAATAAGTGAATATAGGCATACAAAAGAGGGAGAAGTGTAACTTAATGGTAATAAGCATTCATTGATTTAGGAACAGGGAAGTAAGGCCTGATTTTCAGGCATTAAGATCTTGGGAAGATGGGGATGAGAAAGAATAGTGCAAACAATTAAAGAGTGTCCAAGTGTTATACCATAGGCACATTGCAGTGGTTTGCAGCAGTGTACTGAGCTTAGACTCTGCCCATACAGGTAACACAGAACCAACCCTGTGTAGTGCAGTGAATTCATTTCAGTTAGTTGTCAGTATAATTTCTTAGGTGTTGATCCCAGTTTTCAAATGAGGAAACTTAGGTTTGGAAAAGTGAGGTGATTTCCCAAGGTCATGGCTTAATGAGGTATTGATTTAAAGACCTGAGGCCTAAGATTTCTGTTTGGTGTTTCTTTTTTGTTCCTGTTTATAAAATAATATAACCCCCTTGTAAAACCTTCCAATGGAAGTGAGTCAAGTGTGAAGATCCCCAGATAATGCCCTTTCTTCTGTCTGCTCCCCATTTCTCCTTTTTTGATTGGTGTGTACACACGTGCACACACACAGTTTATGGAGTGTTTTTCTCCACATAAATAGGAGTTAATGTATGTATTTCTCAGCTTGCTTGTTTCGGTTAACATCTATGTGAATGGTTATGTAATAATCTTTATTCTTTTTATCCTTTGTATAGTTTGTTTTGGGGTGCTGGGATCAACTCTGGGGCTTCACACATGTGAGCAAGTGCTCTACCACTGAGCTCCACACTCAGCCAACTATCATGTATTAGTGTTTTATAATATAGATATTCCTACATGACCTGCGCAGTCCCTGGTTGACATTTAGGTGGTGTATACTTTTCAGACAAACAGTGCTGCAGTAGCTCTTTCTTATCTCTTCAGACTGCTTCTAAGAGTTCTAACTGCAACATCAAGGACACTTAGTGGAGACAGAAAGTGGTAAGAACTTTCCACAGAAATGCAGTTTAGTGTTTAGCTTATGCAGAAATATCCATCAGCAACTCTTATAAAGGAAGGAATGCTTAGAATTTGACACTGGGAAATTAACTTTTGATTACCCATCTCATTATAATTGGAAATGTGCAGGGGCTGTTGCCAGCAGCTACCTGTACTTTGAGAGGAGGCTTTGAGCTGCTTTTCCCAAAGTATAGGGACAGTTTTTAGAAGGAGCATACTGAAGGGGCACCCCAGTCTGTCTGGCTAGTAGTATTGGCAGTAGGGTACCGCTGTAGGAACTGAAGCCAGGCTGGCTGGCTGTGTTTAGGATGCTTTATGCTTTTCTAACATTTAAGGTATTCATGTTCTTTCCCTATAATTTTGGAATTGTTCAGTATGACAATTTAGTTAGAGTTAAAAAATTTTAGTTAGAGTTCAAAACAGAGAAGATCTTGATGGCTTGCTGCCTAGGGCTTCTTCTCAGGGTTGTCTTTTTTTTTTTTTTTCTTTTTTTTTATTGTTGGTCGTTCAAAACATTACATAGTTCTTAATACATCATATTTCACAATTTGATTCAAGTGGGTTATGAACTCCCAATTATACCCCGTATACAGATTGCTGTATCACATCAGTTACCCTTCCATTGATTGACAAATTGCCTTTCTAGTGTCTGATGTATTCTGCTGTCTGTTCTATTCTCTACTATCCCCCCTCCCCTCCCCTCCCCTCCCCTCCCCTTTTCTCTCTCTACCCCTTCTACTGTAAATCATTTCTTCCATTTGTATTATCTTGTCTTACCCCTCCTTTCCTCTTATATGTCCTTATGTATAACCCTGAGGATCGCCTTCCATTTCCATGCAATTTCCCTTCTCACTCCCTTTCCCTCCCACCTCTCATCCCTGTTTAATGTACATCTTCTTCTCAAGCTCTTCGTCCCTACTCTGTCCTTGTTTACTCCCCTTATATCAAAGGGGTCATTTGGTATTTGTTTTTTAAAGATTGACTAGCTTCACTTAGCATAATCTGCTCTAATGCCATCCATTTCCCTCCAAATTCTATGATTTTGTCATTTTTTAATGCAGAGTAATACTCCATTGTGTATAAATGCCACATTTTTTTTATCCATTCATCTATTGAAGGGCATCTAGGCTGATTCCACAATCTTGCTATCGTGAATTGTGCTGCTATGAACATCGATGTAGCAGTGTCCCTGTAGCATGCTCTTATTAGGTCTTTAGGGAATAGACCGAGAAGGGGAATAGCTGGGTCAAATGGTGGTTCCATTCCCAGCTTTCCAAGAAATCTCCATACTGCTTTCCAAATTGGCTGCATCAGGGTTGTCTTAAGGGAGAACTTTTAAGCATGCTTTGTTCTGGTCGGCCAGCACGGCTCGTCACAATAGCAAAGAAGTGACTCTACTAGTTGTTGAGGTTGAAACCTGTTCAGATGGAAACTTGATTCCTATCTCTCACTGCACTCTTCAACACATCTCATTGGATTAATCTGAAAAATACATCTCACCACCTCCGATATTACTCCCCTGTTCAAGCCGTCTCTTTCCTCAGTTATTGTGGTAGCTTCCTCACCATCTTCTGCCTTCCATTCTTGCTTTCCTTTTCCTACAGTCTCAACAAAGCTACCATTGTCATTTTTTTTTACACTTGAGTTAGGTCATGTCCCTCTTTTTTTTAAAGGTTAACTTTTTAAAAATTTTTAAATTTTAATTGCTTTTATTTTTTTAAATACATGACAGCGGAATGCATCACAATTCTTATTACACATATAGAACAATTTTTCATATCTATATAAAGTAGGTTGACTCCCAATTCATGTCTTCATACGTGTACTTTTTTTATTAGTTGTTCAAAACATTACATAGCTCTTGACATATCATATTTCATACATTTGATTCAAGTGGGTTATGAACTCCCATTTTACCCCATATACAGATTGCAGAATCACATCGGTTATACATCCATGTTTTTACATACTGCCATACTAGTGTCTATTGTATTCTGCCTTTCCTATCCTCTACTATCCCCCCTCCCCTCCCCCATACATGTACTTTGGATAATGATGTCCATCACATTCCACGATCATTGCTAACCCCCCTGCTCCCTCTCTTTCCCTCCCACCCCTCTGCCCTATCTATAATTCGTCTTTTCCTCCCATGCTCCCTCTCTGTACCACACTATGAGTCGATCACCTTATATCAGAGAAAACATTCGCCATTTGTGTTTTTGGGATTGGCTAACTTCATTTAGCATTATCTTCTCCAACGCCATCCATTTACCTGCAAATGCCATGATTGTATTCTCTTTTAATGCTGAGTAATATTCCATTTTGTGTATATGCCACATTTTTAATCCATTCATCTACTGAAGGGCATCTAGGTTGGTTCCACAGTTTAGCTATTGTGAATTGTGCTGCTATAAACATTGATGTGGCTGTGTCCCTATATAATATGCTGTTTTTAAGTCCTTTGGGTATAGACTGAGGAGAGGGATAGCTGGGTCAAATGGTGGTTTCATTCCCAGTTTTCCAAGGAATCTCCATACTGCTTTCCATATTGGCTGCACCAATTTGCAGTCCCCCCAGCAATGTATGAGTGTGCCCTTTCCCCATATCCTCGCCAACACTTATTGATGTTTGTCTTCATAATAGCTGCCATTCTGACTGGAGTCAGATGGTATCTTAGAGTAGTTTTGATTTGCATTTCTCTAATTGCTAGAGATGATGAACATTTTTTCATATATTTGTTGAATATCCTTTTCTGAGAAGTGTCTGTTCATGTCCTTGGCCGATTTGTTGATTGGGTTATTTGGTTTTTTGGTATTTAGCTTTTTGAGTTCGTATATACCGTAGAGATTAGTGCTCTATCAGATGTGTTAGGGGGGTCATGTCACTCTTAAAAACTTTCCCATCTGAGGGAAAACTACTGGGGTCTCCCCTTTTCCACCCTGCCCTGTCTCCTCCTGTGTTGAACACTTTGTAGTTATTCTGACATCCTTGCTTTTTGTCCAAAATGAAAGCACACTCCTGCCTTAAGCCGTCTGCATTTGTGGTTTCATCCTCCTGAAACAGATAACTGCAGGACTGCTTTCCTCTTCTTCCTCCATGTCTTTGTTCAACAGTCACCTTCTTGGGGCTGGGGATATAGCTCAGTTGGTAGAGTGCTTGCCTTGCATGCATGCACAAGGCCCTGAGTTCAGTCCCCAGCACCACACACACACACACACACACACACACACACAAAAGAAGTCACCTTCTTAGCCAATAAGCAAATGAAAAGATGTTCAACATCATTAGCTATCACAGAAATGCAAATCAAAACCACAATGAGAGACCACTTCATAACCACTATAATGAACAGTAACAGGTGTCATCAAGGATGTGGAGACATTGGAACCTACGTGCGCTACTGGTGGGAATGTAACTTGGGGTCGGTGCTAAGGAGTTTAAAGATGATGAAAATGTTCTCCAATTTATTGTGATGGACTCACAACTCTGTAAATATACTGCACTAAAAACTATTTTGAATTATACACTTCGTGTGTGTTGCTAGGGATTGAACACAGGGCTTCATATATGATCGGTAAGTGCTCTACCACTGAGCTACACCCAAGCCCTGAATTATGCACTTTAAATGGGAGAATGTGTGGTATATAAATTACATCTCAATATAGTTATTACCAAAACAAATAGTCACCTTCTCATGCTTTTCTTGACCTTTCTCCAAGACAGGGATTCTATGTGTTTTTTGTTCTTTGTTTTATGCATTGCACAAAATGACACTTAATATTTTTGAGTAAAGAATTAATCCCTAATGACTGTTTCCTGGGCCAGGTATACATGGAGAATCAGTAAATACTGTAGGAATGAATTTCCAAATATGGAAAGTTTTACTCAGACTGAGTTTATCAATTGAAATTGATACAAACTGTTTCTCTGTGACTCCTTTAGTATTTAAGATATTGCCAGGGTGATAGAATCATAAATATAGGGCTAGAAAGAAATTTAGATCAACCAGAGGTTCTCTTAAAGTTTTATTATTGAGTAGCAAGCAGGGAACTTTTGATTTTACTCATTAGTTTAAAAATCTTTCAAGTCATGTTGAATTGACAGTCTAAGAAAGCATTGGCATATATGTTTTCTGTTTTGTTTTGTAGACCATACCTGATATTCCACCAAAGCCTGGAGAACTCAAAACCGAGCTTTTGGGACTGAAAGAGAGAGAGCACATTAAGCATGAACCTCAAATTTCTCAGCAATAGAAATTTCAAAATACAACTGTGCTAAGAACTCTGAGAATATTGTCTTAAATATGTATTTTTTTTAATTTATTGAGTCAAACTACTTGTCCTTAAGTACCTACCAATGCCAACTTCAGAAAGAGGTACTCAGTAAATATTGACTGATATGGTGACATTTTTATATTTGACCAGACTCTGTTGTAAACTGCCAAAGTATATACATCATCAGCTTCTTGAACATGGTTTAGAAGATACCGAGCCTTGAATATAATTATGCCTTAATTATAATAGCAACGTGTCCTGCCATTATAATTCTGGTTTGTTTTTCTGAATAAGCTTCACTGCAGTRGTAAAATGGGAAATATAAAGTAAATATAATAAAAGCGATATTGGGAATGAATGCTTATGGAGTCTAAGTTAATTAACAGTTTCTAAATATTGGAAAGTACCATTTTTCGAATTTGTCAGTAGTTCAAAATTGACACAGATGCACTAAAATTGGTTAGGATTCACAGTCTTATTTTTATTAATGTTAATACTATTTTATTACAGTATTATTACTTTATAGTTTTATTACTATTATATAATTATTACACTGTATCCTGTATTTCAGTTCTTACAGGTATTTGACATCTGTAATGATGGGACAAAATGGCTTAAGTCAAAACACTTAAAATCATTTTGGAATTGTATTATGTAACAAAATTTGTAATATTTGTGATGGTCTTTCATAAGGTTCTTAATCCCCAATTGAGAAACCAAATTAAAATTTAAAAATAACTGGAAAACTTAAATGAGCATTATTATGGGTTGAATTATTCCCAGAATAATTGTTGCAGTCTTAGTCCTAGTACCTGTCAATGTGGCCTTGTTTAAAACTAATACAACCAAATTAAGKTGAGAGCCTAATCTGATACTACTGTTGCCTTCCTAAGAGGAAAATGCCATGTAAAGACAGACACAGGGAGGACACTGCACAACAAAGAGAGACAGAGTGAGTGATGTGCAGCAAGCCAAGGACYACCAGGATTGAAGGCCACCACCACTAGGAAGAGGGATGATTATACAGAGCATGTCCCTGCAAATGACACCTGAATTTGAAATTTCTGGCCTCCAGAACTGAGAAAATAGTTTCTGTTGTTTTAAGGTACTTAGAGGTACCTTGCTAGATATGTCAGCCCTAATAGATTAATACAAATATTTCAATCTAGGGGCTGGGGATGTGGCTCAGGCGGTAGCGCGCTCGCCTGGCATGTGTGCGGCCTGGGTTTGATCCTCAGCTCCACATACAAAGATGTTGTGTCTACTGATAATTAAAAAAAAAAAATAAGTTAAAATTCTCTCTCTCCCTCTTTAAAAAAAAATATTTCAATCTCTGAGTCTATAATATAGAGAACAAAATTTATAGACCAGTTGGCTTTTGTCCAGGACTATTTTTCAGAATTCTTCCTTTGCCTCCTTCCTAGCCAGTGAGCAAGTTGCTGCATGACATGGATCTCTGTGGTCAGTGATGAGGTCCTCCAGCACTAGGTTGCYTCAATTGGAGTGGCTTTGTGCAAAGCTGCATGTTACATCATTTCTCTCTTGTCCATCCAAAGGAGTACCTTAATAACATCCAGTATATTGAACTGTCTCAGGGCCTACTGGAGAATGAATTTGATGGGGTATAGTTGGGTAGTAAAGCCTAGCATGAGGGCCTTRAGTCCCATTGCTAGCACTGGGGAAAAGCAAGCCATCTCACTTATTCCTTAATGTAAACTTAAAACCAACTACCTATTTTTACCAAGAACTAAGGGAATATGATGCCTTCTCTGCTTCCTGTTGAAGTAGTAGTAATCTAGAATTTATAACTGTAGGATTCTGAGTAGCAAGTGTTAGATGTCACTCATTTAATACAATCAGGTGGCTTTGAGTATAACATTTATTAAAAATGGTAATTCACAGTGGAAATAAACATCACAAGGACACTAGGTCTTATTATGCCACGTTCCTCTATGATTAAGCTGCCCTTTCATTTCTTGTGAGAAAGGAAGGGCATATTTTAAAAAAAGGTGCACATTAGCCAGGCACAGTGGGTGCATGTCTATAATCCCAGTGATGCAGGAGGCAGAGGCCAGGAAAACCACAGAGGCCCTGGGTTTAATTATCCAGTTATCAAAACAAATAAAAAACAAAACAAACAAGACAAACAAAACAAACAAAAAACCCCCAAACAAAACAAACAAAAAACCCCCAAACAAACCAATCCACCAAAACACAAGTGTCAGATGATAATTCTATACTATGCTTTATGAAAATACAGGCAAAATGGTATTTGGGATTTTTTATTTTTATACACATGACAAGATTTTACACCAAGAATAGTCAGTTAAATAGTACAAATTTACATTCATGAGGAATGTTAAAAAAAATTCAACTAAAAAACCCACTTCTTCCTGTGACCCACAATCCCAACATTTTACAGTGCAGGGGAGAAGGGGGCTGGGGAGCGTCCAAAACAAGTCTCTCCCCCCCAAAAAATGACTTAAATTTCACATTCTCTCTCCACACAGGATCCAATGGTGAGAGTATAATTTACAATTCGTCTTTTTCAGCTGTAGATTGCTGTGAAAACAAAAACAATAAAATGTTAAAAGCTAACAAAATCCCCAGTTTAGTGAGGGCATTCTTACAGAAAAAATTTGCTCAAGCAAATTTTTGTTAAGACCCTTGCTCTAGTTGTAGCCCTAACTTTGTCTCAACTAAGAATTTAGTGAGAACTAAAGGTGCAACCCCACTCTTGCTGACATACCTTTGCTGTTTCTTGTTCTTCTTCTTCTGTTCCTGCGTCCAATTCTTCTTCGTCTTCGTCCTGCTCTGTGTCTTCAGGTGTGTCTTCAGCTGTGTCTTCGGGCTCTTCTTCTGGTTCTTCTTCCACCTAAGGACAACATCCATGAGCCCATCAATACCTTGGATCTAGTTTCATTCTGCTTTAATGTGTAAGATCACTCCTATTATTCAGAACCACAGAGTAAACCCCTTAACTAGAGTTAACAGTCAAACTAAAAAGGAGGACAGGCGAAAAGAAAAGGATATAATATAAAAGAGGGGTTTTGCATCATTTATAGCATAATGCCTGAATTATGGGGATGTCAATTATTTCAAAAAACAAATAATTTCAAAAAGTAGAACAATGGTTTGGGGTTGTGGCTCAGCAGTAGAGCACTCCCTAGCACACGCACGCAAGGCCCTGGGATGAATCCTCAGCACCACATAAAAGTTAATAAAGGTATTGTGTCCAACTACAACCAAAAAATAAATATTTAACAAAAAATAAAAAGTAGAACTCTGGCAAGCTTTTCAAAGCTACCATTTTTTTTTTTTAAAGAAAGTTCCAACTTCCCAACCATATTTTCCATCTTTTTTTTTAATATATATTTTTTTAGGTGCTGACGGACCTTTATTAATTTATTTATTTATATGTGSTGCTGAGAATCAAAACAGTGCCTCACACATACTGGGCAAGCACTTTACCACGGGGGTACACCACAGCCCCAGCTACCTCCCTTAATCATGCAAAGGCTCCTGCTTTTGGTGGTATTAGGGTTCAAAGGGTGTTCTTTTTTTTTTTTTAATTTTTGAGATAGTCTTGCTAAGTTGCCAAAGCTGGCCCTGAACCTTAGCCTTCCAAGTAGCTGGGATTATCAGGGATGGACACTACTGGTGCAGGAGCCTACTCTTAGAAGAAAACCTATGTGGATGGGCACTGTGGTGTACACCTGATACCATGTCACCAGAAAAAGGATTGGGGATTTGGAGGTCAATCTGGGATACAAAAACAAAACAAAAACACATAACAACAACAAAACGCAACCAACTTATGTGGGATGGTTGGTGATACAAACCTTTGCTTCAGGGTCAATGTTTAAACTGAGGCGAAGCATTCTTTCTATTCTATCTCCATATGCTTTAGTGTCTGGCAGAAGGTATCCTGACCGAAGAGTTGCCGTTTCAAACAAAACCACAGCAAGATCTAAAACCGTCTTGTCATCTTCATCTTCCTGAGATGGAAGAAGTTGCACTTGATTAAGGTTTTCAGATTTAAGACAACAAAGAGGATCAGTGCAACATTACTCACTTTAACTCGGCGAAGCATGTCTCTGATCAGTGGATGTCTGGGATTAATTTCAAATGTTTTCTTCTGACTGGCATAGTAACTGTGAAGGGACAAAATGAACATTAACAAAACATCAAATTTTAGGGTTCCTACATTTCTTTTACCCTAACCTTGAAAATTACAGAGAATAAGTATTGGAAAAAATCAAAATGTATTTATATTACTCCCTTTTAAAGGCAGATATGCATGGCTAAAAAAAGTGAAATAAAAGGAAGCTAATTTGGGAGCTGGGATGGTGGCTCAGCGGTAGAGCACTTGCCTCTCACAGATCCTCAGCACCACATAAAAAAGGAAGCTATTTTATATTTAGTGAAGACTCCCAAGTACCTAAAGCAGTGCTGAGTGGGTGACCTGATTTAATGTCTGCCTATTCCCTTAGTCTTACTACTGTTAATTGAAGCACTGCCTCCCAAGTTCTGGGTGCCACTTGAATGACACTTTCTCCACAATGTCCTCATCTACATGGTTCCAAAACCAATCTAAGACAGGGAAGAACCACATCTATCCCTACCCCTGATATAATTGTTACCTATGTAAGGCTTAGGTTGTGCTTTGATCTGTCATCCTGACTAGTCTCAATGTCTCAAAGACAGAAGATTTGTCTACTTCTGACTCACGTACACAGACACAGTAAGTTCAATTGTTTGTTAAATGGAAGGCAACTTCCTGTTAATTAAACATTTACTGGAAAAGACATAAATAATTAAGTATTATATGTTGATGAGCCATCATGCCAAGTATGACTTCATATAACCTAATGCAAAAGTAAAAATATGTAGAACAGATTAAGAAAATCTCCATTTGTTTGTAAAACATTATGCAAAAATGCATGAGTTAAATGCCTTTTCTTTACCAATCCAAGGGGGAATCCCTTTGTAAACTTTCTGTCTACCTAATACACAGGCAGTGGAGGACACTCAACGCTAGGCTCTGTATAGAAGCAGGTGTTTGGACAAAATCTAGCATGCTGGCAGGGCTCTCCCTCCCCAGGGTGCTTACTTGGTGGAGATGTCCTTGCCCGTTTGGTATGCCTGGGCTTTCATGATCCTCTCCATGTTGCCAGACCATCCGTACTGGCTGGCCACAAGAGCGCACGGAGACTCTGTCAGGCGCTGTGATACCACAGCTTTTTCAATCTTAGGGTGAGAAACAAAAGTTGGTATCAGGTATGGCCACTTAGAAACTGTATTTCAACTTCCTAAGATTTTGTCACTTAAAATCATGAATAGGGGTAGA